CTACCGAGTGGGCCACCACTACCGAGTGGGCCACCTATCCAAAACGCGTCAATTAATTTAACCCCTTCTTCTTCAACCACCCACCATGCCACCAATTCGCTCTCAACGCTCTAGAAATTCAATAGAGCAAGAGGGTAGGATCTTACTAGCTATCCAGGCTTTTAAGAATCAAGAAATCTCTTCAATTCGTGAAGTGGCGCGCCGTTTCGAAGTCCCCCGCTCTACCTTACAACGCCGCCTCGCTGGTGATACCTTTCGTCCTGAAACACGCGCTAATAGTCATATATTAACAGAACTCGAGGAGGAATCTCTTCAAAAATGGATACTCTCTATGGATTCTCGTGGAGGGGCCCCCCGGCACTCTATGATACGAGAAATGGCGGATCTTCTTCTTTAAAAGCGTGGAACTACCCCGGTTCTTTCGGTCGGCGAAAACTGGGTTACGAAATTTATATAACGGCATCCTCTCCTCTCCTCCCGATTCTTAAAACGGTATAACTACGAGCGTGCGAAATACGAAGACCCGAAAATCATTTAAGAGTGGTTTAATCTGGTTTAAAAGATAATCCTTTAATTTAGAATCGACCCTAACGATATCTATAACTTCGATGAGACCGGTTTCGCTATAGGAGTGGTTTTAACTATGAAGGTTATTACGAGAAGTGATTTACCTAGTCGAAGAGGAGTTTTATAACCTGGAAATCGTGAATAGGTGACTATAATTAAGTGTACGAATGCTTTAGGTTAGGCCCTCCCTCCGTGTGTGATTTTTAAAGGTAAAGTCTTTCTTAAATCATGGTTCGAAGGCCTTCCGGAGAACTAGCGTTTCGAAGTAAGCCCTAACGGCTAGACCTCTGATGAAATTAGACTCCGTTAGCTAGAAAAGCTCTTTATTCCTAGTACTTCTGCGCGTACGAAGGGGGGTATCGGCTTCTAGTACTTAACGGCCACGGAAGTCATTTAACGCCTAAATTTAACGAAATTTATGAGTAAAATAAGGTGATACTAATCTGTATGCCAGCACATTCATCTCATCTTTTATAACCTCTGGATATTAGCTGTTTTGCGGTATTAAAACGATCGTACGGTCGGATGGTTAAAACCAAAATGCGGAACGGGATTAACCATATCGATAAGCTTGACTTCCTCGAAGCATACCCCCTCGCACGAATTAAAGCTTTTAAATCGGAGACTATTAAAAATAGCTTCGGAGCAGCCGGTTTAGTCCCCTTTTTACCGGAGAGAGTGATTTTAAAGCTTAATATTCGGCTTCGAACTCTAACCCCCCCAGCTAGCCGGGGTAGTGAATTAAGCCGGAATTTTACACTAAAAACCCCTTTTACAGAGAAAGATCTACGTCGTTAGGCTTCATTAATTAAAGCTTTACTTCGTATAAGATCTCGAAGCCCGCCTAGCCCATCAGATCGTGCATTAAACCAGCTTATGAAAGGCTTCCGTCTTATAATGCAAGGTGCTATCTTACTCGCTAAAGAAAATAAGGAATTACGCGCCGCTAACGAGAAGCAGAAGTAAAAGCGTACTCGATCCCGAAAGCAGATACCCGCCGAAGAAGGCCTTTCAGTTCAAGAAGCCTCTGCATTAATTATGCAGCAATAAGAAGCAATTAAAGCACCTCCCCCCGGCCCCGGCATGCCTAGAGAATCAACTATTCAGCCACGTACGCGGCCCCCCCCCGGGTAGACTTCGGCAGAACCCATTTTGGGTCGGAGTCTCCGACCCAAAACCCAACCCATTGGGTTTTGGGTTCCGCCTTCCATAACCCAACCCAACCCAAAACCCAATGGGTTAAACCCAATAACCCAATAATAACCCATTTGAACCCATTTTGGCATAAAATATAGGTCTTGGCGTTCATAACAATGCTAAGTCATCGAACAAAATTACTGTTTTTTACAACTGTTCCGGTTTGTCTGTCGAACATTGCTACATTATCACAGTAATAAGTTAGAAATTTTATATAATTACTTTGAATTTAAAGCCAATTTACTTCATATTATATTAATTACCAATAAAAATTGAGATTAATCATGGTATAGTGGTGTTCTATCAATTTATGCATTTATTAAATGTAGACTGTTAGAAATATATATTAGTGGCAGAGGTGAGTCTATACATATTTAAACATAAACATGAATAGAAATAGAAATCTCTTAATCTTAATTTATTTTCTATATAATTAATATCATTTTAAAGCCAAATATCTCTTTTCTTATATTCTTAATTAATATATCTAGTAATTAATGTACTATGCAAATTAAGGTGGTTTATAAATGATCTCTATACTCTCATGTGTACTCCAGATGAAATATTTCTGAGTGATCTTCGGGGGGAATGGGTTATGAATGGGTGCTCTCGGGTTTTAATGGGTTATTAATGAGTTATTAATGGGTTATATTGGGTTTTAATGGGTTTTAATGGGTTATGATGGGTTTTAATGGGTTATGATAGGTTATAATGGGTTATGATGGGTTATGAATGGGTTCTATTGGGTTCTGTTAGGTCGGACCCATTTAAATATAGCTTATGTAGCCAATCAATTGATCTTATATCTTATATCTTTTGATATATCTACTTTACTTAGCCTATTTACGTGTCTATTATCTGAAACCCCCTTTTTATAAGTATATACTCCCTCTGATTATCCCCCTTACATCCCCTGCAGTATTCATCTTTACAATAATCATGTCCTAAAGCCAGCATTCTGACTTCCTACCTACCCTTTTCGATAGGGATACAGATAACCTTAGCTATCTTATTCCCTCTTCTCGGGCTCTAACCCCACCTAGTAGCTAACTCACAATCGAGCCTTTTAATGCTATTAATACCGACTTCCTTCGGCCCTCTAACCTTCTACCGATCCCACCTTCTCTTACCCGCGTTAGCCCCGATCGGAGAAAGGCATATGTGCTTTATGACGATATGGCATATAAAGAATGGGTTAACTGGTGGCTATAAACCGACTATAGGCAGAAAAGCAAGCTTTCCTGGGACTTAAATCGCAATTCAAATATATGGAGTAACTTCGACCAAGTTACCCATACTAAAGATAGTGCGCCAAAGGTGATGTGTAAGCGCTGCTTAAAAATCCTGGAGCATCCTTATTCTCCATCGCCTAGTGGTAAGGGCTATCATAGCACATCAACAATGTTAAAGCATTTAAAGACAGCAGGCTGTCGTAAAGCTCAGCAGGGAGGGAAAGGAGAAATTACCAGGTTCCTTTAAAAGGTAGTAAACCCTTATATTTTATTTAGTTATCAGGTTTTAGTAACACTCTTAGATACATAGGATAACGGCCAATCGGAAGCTCCTTTTTCACAGTCAGTTTAGGAAGAGCATCTTCTTCAATTTCTTACCCTTAATCGACTTCCATTCCACCTTATTGAACATCCAACATTTCATAAGCTATTCCGATTAGCCCGCTCTGCACCATCCACCCCCCTAATACCCTCCGCTACTACAATACGCCGTCGCCTCCGTGATATCATTACAGAACGACAGAAGTCTATCCTCCAAACGCTATCTAACGACGCAAAAATCTTAATTACATTAGATTACTGGACTTCTCCATATAACCAGGCGTTTATGGCTATCACTGGCTATTTTATTAATAGCAATTAGGTATACTAAGAGGTTCTACTTAGATTTAAACCACTTCATGGCTCTCATACTGGTTTAAATCTAAGTGGTATAGTCCTTGAAACTCTAGTTAAGCATCATATCCAGGATCGGGTATTTAGAGTCATAACTAATAACGCTACCAATAACAAGACAATGGTTAATGCTATACAGCAGGCGCTCTCTAGCGATGTGACAGTAATCCGAATACCCTATCTTACTCATGTGATCCAGCTATGTTTAAACCAGCTCCTTAATCGTCTGAAGGCTATTCCTCTAAATGAGAATACAGAAACGAAGTGGACTGACTAGAAGTCATCCGCAGCAAAGGTAAATGCTCGGCATCAGACACAGAGGATCTCATATACCTTAAATAAGGTCCGCTATCTTACTGTGTATATCCATGTAAGTCCCTAACGCCAGGCGGCCTTTCTCCGACTTTAAGAAAAGGGACCCCAGCTTATTCTAATCCAGGATATAAGGACTCGGTGGAATTCTACATTCCTAATGCTTCGTCGTGTAAAGAAACTACGCAGTTTCTTCCAGCCCTTCTGTGAGGAGTATGACTATGAGGAGATGTTACTTAATAATCAAGAATGGCGTTAAATCGACTATCTTCTATAAATCACTCGGCCATTCTTTGACTATATAACAGAACTCTCGAAGACAAAGGAGGTTACGACACATCTTATCTTCAAGCTTTACAATGCCCTTTTTAATCACTTTTTCGAAGCAGAGGCACTACTCAAACGCAAACGTGTTCCATGGAAGTCAGATATGCTTAAAGCACTCACAGCCGGTCGCTTAAAGCTTAATGAGTACTACTCTCAAACTAATAATCTTAAAGGACATATCTATGCAGTTAGGATAATGCTAGCACCTGATAGCAGATTTCAATTCTTCTTATCTAATAATTAGGAGCCTCACTAGCGTGATACCTACCGGAAATCGTTCCAGGAGTTATTAATTCCGTATTAAGAGCGTCTTACGATAAGTCATGGATCGACTAATACTCTAACAATAGCTTCTGGTTCTAGGCTAAACAAGATGCTAAAGAGTAATAAGATATCTACGAAGCCAGCTAGTAATAAAATAACACAATATCTTAATAGCGGTATGTTAATAATCTGTTTCTTCTCTATAGAGGATAATACTAATCATTTATACTACTAGATCTAATTAAGATTAAACCTCTTCAATTCTGGCGGGAGAACTAATCCCGTTTCCCTGCAATCGCGTTACTTACTCGCGATATTCTCTCTATCCCAGCAACTAGTGCTGGTGTCGAACGGCTCTTTAATACTGCTCGGGATGTTTATCACTACCGCCGTGGTCGTCTGAGGTCCGAAACAATCGAGGAGCTTATGTTATTTCTATGTGTAACAAGATTTAATCTTAAGGAAGCTGAGGCAAAGCAGCTCCAGCAGTTCTTTTCATTAGCTGAGCTCGAGTCATTAAAGGAGGAACTTAATGATCATACAGAGGATGCTGAGCTTGATTTGATTAGTGATAATGAGGAGGAGGAGGAGGAGGAGGGAGTAGATAGTAGACCACGAGAGACATCTCCTCATCTAATAGATATAGATATAGAGGTGACAGAGCCACAGTTACCAGAGTCTGCAACTCAGATACGGGCCTCAGGGAGGAAACGTAAGAGTAGAGCAGATGATGATTTTGAGAAATATTAGAGAAATATATACTGATACAATCATCCAATTTATTCTAATTTATTCTGGAAGACCTGTCTGTAAACAAAATACTCAATATTACAAGCAAAAAGTGCATTAATTATGCAGCTCCACTCTAGAAGGCTGTTTGGCTGGTTTGCTCTATATTGGGGCCCCAATGGGTTACCCAATGGGTTTTGGGTTATTACCTATAACCCAAAACCCATCGTTGGGTCGAGGCAATGGACCCAAAACCCATTTTGGGTTGGGTTGGGTTGGGTTGGGTCCGGGTTATAGTGGGTCGTGCCGAAGTCTACCCCCGGGGGTGTGGAATATGCAGATTGCCAGGGCATAGAAGAGAAACATGTCCAGATAGACCACTTAGTTAGTTGAATTAATTTAATGGCGTTTTGGTTGAGATAAATGCATTTAAAATTGGTAGGTTAGATGGGGTGGCCCACTCGGTAGTGGTGGCCCACTCGGTAGTGAAATACGTTATACCCCCTTTAGTTAGTTAATCTTACCCCTACCGTTTCCCACACCGCCTTCTAAATTCATTCACCGCCTTTAGGTTAAACTCCATAATAGTAGTAAGACAGTAAGCAGATACCTGCAATTTATATATAACCCCTGTACAAAATTAAGTCACTTATATTATATAGATTAGATTAAATAGATTAAATAAATTTATATTCAATTCTAGTTTATACCCATTAATCTGCCTACTTCTAACCCATTTATCTATAATCTTTACTATTTTCATCATTAATATAGCCTCCCTAGGCCTCGAATACCTACTTTCTGATTCGGATTCCGAGCCAGAGATTATCCCCGAGTCTCTACCTACAGCGCTAAGCCACCATAGCCGGCTAATCACCGCGATAGGCACCGAGCTAATACCCCTTCCCTCTCTTAATTCATACGATACACTAGAGGCTAGAATTACTATAATTAATAAATATGGCCGTCTATATAGCTATATAGTCTCCTCTCTTCGCTCTGATTCGTAAAGAAAGGGGTAAAGAAGACATTATAATTATGCTATAATCGCGGTTGGCTATAACGAGATCGCCCCGATAACGCTACTAAGCGTAAACGGCAGACTATAACACTTACTAAAGAATATCTCTTTTGTATCTCGCTTCGTCTCCAGCATGAGATATAAACCTAGCGTACTATAATCGAGAATGCATCCCATGATCATAGTCTATCCCCTATATTAACACACCTGGTTCTACGAAGCTAGGAACTCTCTATAAAAACGGACGATATCTAGAGACAGCTTAATTAGGGTCTTTCTACCCGTTATATCCTCATAAGTATCCGAAACGATGACCTAGAGTCCTCTCTTATTCCTAGACTGCGACATCGCCCATCGCCCGTCCACGGTGGGCGGTGGGCTATTTGGATTTTCGAGTGCCCGTCCATAACGCCCATGGCCCACGGGCATGCCCACCCACTATGCCCACCATTGCATAAAGTCACCTAAAATGGACGTATAACTCGCTGACTCTACATAATAAATAACTACTATTTACGCCTGTTTTGCTAACTCTATGTAAAATCGCGGTTTTAATCTATAACCTTCATAAATTTTACTGAAATATCTGAGTATATAAGAAACTAATATATATATGATACGACTTAGAATAAATCTTTGATCGAGATACATCATGTTATGTGGTATTTTTATTAACTTATTAAATCATACTAACGTATTTCACCCCCAAGTGGCGCACACCCCCCAAGTGACGCACCCCATCCAAAACGCGTCAATTAATTTAACCCTTTCTTCTTCAACCACCCTCCATGCCACCAATTCGCCCCCAAAACTCTAAAAATTCAATAGAGCAAGAGGGTAGGATCTTACTAGCTATCCAGGCTTTTAAGAATCAAGAAATCTCTTCAATCCGTGAAGTGGCACGCCGTTTTAATATACCCGAATCCACCTTCCGTCGCCGCCTTCATGGTATACTAAACCTCGCGATTTCTCGTGTTAATTTACGTAAATTGACATAAACTGAAGAGGAATCTCTTAAAAAATGGATTCTCTCTATGGATTCTCGTGGAGCAGCCCCCCGGCCCTCTATGGTACGAGAAATGGCGGATCTTCTCCTTAAATAACGTGGAACTACCCCGGTTCTTTCGGTCGGCGAAAATTAGGTTATAAAATTTATGAAACGGCATCCTATCCTCTCCTCCTAATTCTCGAAACGGTATAACTACGAGCGTGCGAAATGTGAAGACCCTAAAATCATTAGGGAGTGGTTTGATTTAGTTTAAAAGATAATCCTTTAATATGGAATCGATCCCGATGATATCTATAACTTCGACGAGACTAGTTTCGCGATAGGATTAACTATAACTACGAAGGTTATCACGAGGAGTGAATACTATAGTCGGAGGCCGGTTTTATAACCTAGAAATCGTGAATAGGTGATAGTGGTTAAATGTACGAATGCTTCTAGCTAGGCCCTTCCTCCGTGTATGATTTTTAAAGGCAAAGTCTTTATTAAATCATGGTTTAACGGCCTCCCGGAGGATTAGCGTTTCGAAGTTAGTCCTAACGGCTGGACCTCTGATGAAATCGGACTTCGTTAGCTTAAAAAGCTCTTTATTCCTTCGACTTCTTTACGTACGAAGGGACGGTATCGGCTTTTAATACTTAACGGCCACGGAAGTCATTTAACACCTAAATTCGACGAAATTTATGAGCGAAAGTGATACTAATCTATATGCCAGCGCATTCATCACATCTTTTATAACCTCTTAATGTGGGCTATTTACGGTATTAAAACGATCGTACGGTCGGATGGTTAAAACTAAGATGCGGAACGGGATTAATCATATTAATAAACTTGACTTCCTCGAAGCATACCCCCTTACACGAGCTGAAGCTTTTAAATCGGAGACTATTATTAATAGCTTTAAAGCTGCTGGTTTAGTACCTTTTACACCTAATCAAGTGATTTCGAAGCTTAATATTCGACTTCGAACCCCTACCCCCCCTAAGTCGGGGGAGTGAATTAAGTCGAAATTTTACGCTAAAAACACCAGCTACAGAGAAAGAACTACGTCGACAGGCTTCATTAATCAAAGCTTTACTTCGTATAAGATCTCGAAGCCCGCCTAGCCCGTCAGATCGTGCATTAAACCAGCTTATAAAAGGCTTCCGTCTTATAATATAAGGTGCTATCTTACTCGCTAAAGAAAACAAGGAATTACGCGCCGCTAACGAGAAGCAGAAGCAAAAGCGCACTCGATCTCGAAGGCAAATACCCGGCGAAGAAGGCCTCTCAGTCTAAGAAGCCTCTGCATTAATTATGCAGCAACAGGAGGTAACTAAAGGACCTCCCCCCGGCCCTAGCATACCTAGAGAATCGGCTATTCAGCCACGTACGCGGCCCCCCGGGGGTGTGGAATATGTAGGAAGCCAGGACACAGAAGAGAGACATGTCCAGATAGGCCATTCAGTTAGTTGAATTAATTTAATGGCGTCATGGTTGAGATAAATGCATTTAAATTTAATGGGTTAGATGGGGTGCGTCACTTGGGGGTGTGCGCCACTTAGGGGTGAAATACGTTATAACAGTTTAAAGATATATATTTAAGTCAGTGATATATGTCTGCTATTTTTATAAGTAAAATACTACTTATGGATTCTGCTTTACCTCTCGCCCCGGTATATTTCTTATAGTTAGATCGAAAGAGAATTAGTATAATTCTTATTTTATAAGCTAATATCACTAGATTCTGTTAATTATATCACTAAAAGACTTATGTTATTATTATGGGAGTTTTAATGTTACGGATAATCCACTAGTCAGGGTAGATGCCTGTCAATCAGGTAGGAAAAGGGTATCAATATGCGGGTTCCAAGTCAAAGACTGTTTCTTACAGAACCCTCAGGCTCCTTCTATCTCTTCTAGGTTATATACATCTTTTCCTTCGGATAAGACGGCAAGAGAATGTGATATATTGAGCGGGGAAATCAAATGGGGAGCGGGGTAGAGGGTTGCAAGACAAAACCGGTTTCAACGCCGGCAGGGTTCCTTTCCCGAATGGATATCGAAAGCCCGGGGTTTCACCGCCGTGGCGCCGGGATTCTTCCTGGCCCATAGGCCTAAGGCAGTACCAATCGGCCTGAGGCACCAATACACGTATAACCTCATGATTGAAGATATCGTGACATTTAAATCCTTCGATTATAACTCGAGATAGGCGTTTAGGCATATTCCTATAGGCGTGTCCACGGGTATGCCTATAGATAAAGACACTGATAGCTAATCAGCTTATAACGAAGAGTGGGTCTACACTTAACTTACGATCTATTAGATCTATATAAAGCACCCCTTTAACTAGTAACCCCCGTTTCACACGGTCGTAAGTTACCTATTATAAGTTTAGATCACTCACTCTCCCTTAATCGTTATATTATCCCCTATATCATATTAACTATGTCCTAACCTAGTGCCTATACTGTAGGGCCTTCTTCACTTCCTCCGAGCTCCTAACTAGACCTCTCCTACGTCGCCGATATATTTAATCCTAACCTTAATCTAAATATTAATCCTAGTCTCTTTAATAACTAACAGACTCCTATATCACTAATAGAGTCTAAGTTCACTTAACCGGCTATTCTTAATTACTCTCTTAAACGCGTCGGCCCCGATCGGAAAAAGTAGTTTATCCTCTACGACGCGATAAATAACGTGTCTAAAGTAAAGTTTATCGAGTGGTGGCGTACCACTATACGCGGTAGCGGTACTAAGACATAAAATAGAGGCTACGATAGGATATAATATATATATTAGATATCTAGGAGAACTTCGACTAGGTAGCACATTATATTATAGGCGAACCTTTAGCTATATGTCGGACGTGTGGGGCTATATTACCTCATCTAAGTACGAAGAAAAGCGG